CGGACGACGGCCGCCAAAGCGCTCAACAGGCGCAGGCCCTCGGCGATGAGCTTGTACCAGTCCGCCGCGACGAGCGCCGCCACCCGCGGGATGAGCGACCCCACGAGGCCGGAGACGCGCTCCGGCGCGGAGCCCTCGAGCGCCGCGCGCAGGAGCGTCGCCGCGTCGAGCCTGAGCGCCTGGGACCGCTCGCCGAAGCCGTACAGCGCGGCCTTGACGACGTCCTCGGCCAGGGGCCCCAGGTCGTCGGACGCCGCCACGAGGCAGCGGAGCATGGCGAAGCACGCGGCCTTGGGCTTCTCCGCGTCGCCGTGGCGCTTCGACACGACCTTGAGGCACGCGGCGACGGCGGCGGGCGCGACGGCCGCGAGGGGCCCGCGCCAGGCGCAGGCGTCCTCCATGTCCGCGTCGCCGTCGCCGGGCGCGCGCGCGCCGGGCCGCGCGCGCCGCGCGGCCTCCTTCGCGGACCTGTGTGGAAATCAACCACTGGTTTGGGGGGTCCCCACCAAACTTCAGAACTCTCTATCTCGGTCAAATCGAAGTCGATTCGGCTGATTTTTGGACGAATCGATTGCTCTCGTCGAGTTCTCGAAGCACGGCAGAAAACCTTGCGTCGAAACGGTCGCATACGCACACATTGAAGTCGGGTTGAAGATTTGATTTCCACACGGTCGCGGACGCGCGGAGCAGCGACGACACGGCGTCGATGACGTCGACGCGCACGTTCTCCTCGCGCTCCTTGAAGCGGCCCACGAGCGTCGGCGCGAGGTGCTCGTAGAGCTGGGGCAGCAGCTCCGCGCGCGACGACGCGACCGCGCGCTGCACGCGGACCGCCGCGCGGCGGACCTGGGCGGCAAAAGGGTGCGACATTCCCAACTTCAAAGGCTCCTCTCTCGGTCGGTTTCCGCTCGTTTCGGCTGATTTTTGGACGAGCGATCATCTCTCGGAGCGCTCTCGAAGCGTGGGTGCTGTTTCCGAAACGCGCGCGCGCGGAACACTCACGTTGAAGCGACGTTGCATCACCCTTGTGCCGCCCCGCGGCGGACCTTCCACGACGTGTCGTCGTCGTCGTCGTCGTCGCCGTAGTCGTCGTCGTCGAAGCCGCCGTCGTCGTCGTCGGCCTCGTCGGCCATGTCCTCGTCGTCGTCGTCGTCGTAGGCGTAGTTCGGGTCGAAGGCCGCGAACTTGGTACTGAGCGCGAGGAGGCGCTCGACGTGCGGCGCGATCTCGCGCGGGCACCGGAGCACGAACGATTCTAAGCCCTGGAAGCAGTTCTCCCGGAGCTCGTTGAGCTCCTCCGTGTTCGAGTCCTCGCCGTCGTCGTCGCCGACGTGCTCGACGAAGACGGGCACGACCGCGTCGAGGTGGCGGCCGAGGCGGCCGCCGACGGCGCGCGAGATCGTGCCGATGGTCTGGATGAGCGTCCGCGCCCGGTCCACGTCGTCGCGGGCCTCCTGGATGCGCGCGAGGAGCGTGGAGAAGAGCTTCTCCAGCAGGTCCTCGGACGCGAAGAGCGCGAGCGCCGCGAGGCACCCGGCGGACCGCTTCCGGACGACGGGCTTGCCGTCCGCGAGCTGGTCCAGCACGACCTCGAGGATGGCGCCGTGGTCCCTCGACACCTCGGCGCCGAAGCGCTTGAGCAGGTCCGTCAGGTTCTCCAGCGCCTCGAGCTTGACCTCGACCTTGTCGCCCTGCGCGACGCCCGAGAGCAGCCGCTTCGCGAGGCCGTCGCAGACCTTCGCGCCCATGGCCTGGGGCACGTCCTTGAGCAGCGTCTTGAGGCCGATGCTGTAGATGTCGCGGAGCTCGTCCTTGCCGTCGAGGATCAGCGAGCAGAGCTTGTCGCTGATCTCGCCGACCTGGGCCTGCTGCACCTTCTTGAGCAGAACGCCGAGGCACTTGACCGCGATGGACTGGACGTCGTTGGAGCTGCGCGGGCGGGGCGTCGGGGGCGCGCGCGGGGCGGGGGCGCGGGGCGACGCGCTGGTCGTCGAGCTGCTTGAGCACGGACGCGCAGATCCTGCGCGGAAGCGTCGGCGGTCGCGGGAAGCGCGCGCGCGGCGCGCCGCGGGGCCGGGCGGCGGCACGCACCGGCGCTCCATGGTCGCGTCGATCTTGATGTCCTTCTGCAGCTCCGCGCAGAGGTCCGACGTCGCCATGTAGCGCTCGTCCTTGTCCCAGTGGCCCGTCTTTTCCAGCAGCGCATTCAGCGACGACATGGTTTCTCGAGAGCGCGCGGCGCGCGGTGGGTTCCGCGACCGCGGACGAGTGCTATCTTTTGAATTCGCGGCTTTTCGGCCACCGGGCGTCGCTGGCCGTGGTCGAGCTTCGACGCGAGGCTGTCCGCGAGGCTCGACGAGTCGGAGGGGCTTTGGCGGACCCGCGCGAGGCCTCAGCGTCGACGGCCTCGTCCCGCGCGCGCCCCAGCCACGCGCGCCCAGCCGGTGCGCTTAGTAGGCGCCCTCGGCCCAGGCGATGACGGGCCGGCCGTCGAGCTGGGCCTGGAGGCCGGCGACCGCGCGCTGCTGGGCGACCTGCTCGACCGTCGCGGCGACGAAGGCCGCGGAGAGGAGGAAGAGGAGCGCGGCCCAGCCGTGGCGCGCGGCGGCGAGCGCCGCGCGGCGCCAGGCCGCGGCGAGCGTTGGCGGCGCCTTGCCCGCGAGCGCGGCGCCGAGGCGCCGCGTCGTCGCCGCCGCGGGCGCGTCGTCCGCGAGGCGCGCGGCGACGAGCGCGACGGCGCAGGTCTGGAGCGGCGTGCGCACGACGGCCTTGGCGGCGAAGACGGCGGCGAAGAACGACGAGAAGGGCACGGCCGTCGCGCCGCAGACGAGCGCGCAGAGGTCGAAGAGCGGGTTCGGGATGAGCGCGAGCACGAAGACCTTCCAGGCCGCGCCGCGCCGGAGCTGGTCCTCGAGGGCGCGCCGCGTCCTCGCGACGAGGATGGCCGGCGTCCACCGCCGCCGCCGCGCCTCGCGGTCGTCGTCGTCCGCGAGGATCGCGAAGGGGTCGTGGCCCGCGCGGACCATCGCGCGCGCGATGACAAAGGGCACGAGCTCGCCCACGGCGGAGCCCGCGCCGGACCAGAAGCCCGGCAGCGCCGCGTGGGCGAGGAGCCACGGCACCTCCCGCGGCCCCGCGCCCGCGCCGGCCCGCGCCGCGGCGGCGAACCACCGCTCGGCGCGGTGGCCCCCGAGCGCCGCGGCGCCGCGGCGCCGCCAGTCGGCCCCGAGCTTCGCGACGTGGGGGAAGAGGAAGAGCGCGCCCGTCTGGAGGCCCGTGCCGAGGCCCACCGTCGACAGCACGCCGCAGACGAACCACCACGAGCAGTACGCCGCGAGCGCCTCGGCCGCGGCCGCGCGCGCGGCGGCCGCCGCGCCGTAGGCGCCGCGCCGCGCCTGCGTCTGCAGGAACGCGAGCGCGCAGACCGCGACCGCGGCGCCGACGTGCGCGGCGCCGACGCGCGGGCACTCGAGGCCGCCGACGCCCGCGACGACGGCCTCGCCAAAGTAGGCCAGCGTCGCTGCTGGCTTCGTCGTCAGCTTGAGCTCGCGCCGCAGCGCGTAGCGCCGCGCCGTGAAGTCCTTGGCGAGCACGGATCGCACCGGTTCGAGGCCCATTGGTGCAGCAATCGAGAGATGCTACCGCGTCGCGTCCATAGGCCTGAGGTGCTGCACTTTTAGCGATGTTGCAGCAAACTTGCACTTACGTCGCCCTACATGTCCGCGCAGGACCACGCGTAGCGGTCGTTCTTGCGGCCGACGGCCTCGGACTGGGCCTTGTAGAGCTTGTTCTCCCAGCCGTTGCCGCGGTCGATGCCGTCCCAGCGGTAGCCCGGCCGGATGCCGAAGCGGTTCGGCGGCGGCGTGGGCCCCTTGTAGCGGGGCTTCGCGTCCGGCGGCCGCGCGGCCTCCTCGGCCTCGTCGCGCCGCGCGGCGAAGTAGTCGGCCATGGGGTCGCCGTCGCGGATGGCACCGCGCCGCGACGCCTCGAGCGCCGGGTCCGCGGCGGTCCGCGCGAACGGCTCCGCGGCGACGGCCGCGAGCTCGTCGCGCGCGCGCGCCTCGTCGGCCTTCTGCTTCGTGCCGCGGCCCCACTCGAACTGCTCCTTCGCCTCGCGGGCCGCGCCCGCGCGCTCGTCCTCGATGCGCATGAACTCGTTGAGCATGTCGAGCTTCCGGCCGCGCTTGTCGCGGTAGACCGTCGCCGCGCCCTTGCCCGACGCCTCCGGGTCCATGGCCGCGCGCTCGGCCGCGCGCCGCTCCCGGAGCTTCTCCTCGGCGACGCGGAACTCCTCGCCCGTGAGCACGCCGGCCGCGTGGCCGCTGCCCATCTTCGCGCGGCCGTCGGGCGCCGCCGCGGCCGCGCGCGCCGCGGGCGCGGCCGAGAAGTCGACGCGCCGCGGCGGGCTCGCGTCGCCGTCGGAGCCGGCGCGGCCGCGCCGCGGCGGGCTCGCGTCGCCGTCGGAGCCGGCGCGGCCGCGTCGCGGCGGGCTCGCGTCGCCGTCGCCGTCCGCGCGCGCCTTCTTGCGCCGCGGCGGGCTCGCGTCGCCGTCGCTGTCCGCGCGGCCGCGGCGCGGCGGGCTCGCGTCGCCGTCGCTGTCCGCGCGCGCCTTCTTGCGCCGCGGCGGGCTCGCGTCGCCGTCGCTGCCCGCGCGGCCGCGGCGCGGCGGGCTCGCGTCGCCGTCGCTGTCCGCGCGGCCGCGGCGCGGCGGGGCTCGCGCCGCTGTCGGCGCGGCCGCGCCGGGGAGGACTCGCGTCGCGGCCGTTGGCGGGGACCGTCGACCAGGTGCCGGCCCGCTTCGGCGCGACGTCCTCGGGCGAGACGTCATCGCCGTAGACGATCTGCGGCCGCTCGTCCTCGTCCGACTCCTCGGCCTGCGCCGCGCCGCCGCCGCCCCAGTCGTCGTCGTCGTCCACGAGCTTCATGCCGCAGGTCTTCTTCACCGGGCCGCCCTTCCTCGCCTTCTTCGCCTTTTTCTCCTTCTTCTTCTTCTTCTTGTCGTCGCCGCCGCTGAGGTAGCGCTGCAGGTACTCGCGCGACGCCTTCGTCGCGCGGTCGTCGGCGCGGGCGGCGTCGGTTGTGCGCACGGCCGGCGAGTAGGTGTCGGTCGGCGCTAACGCGCGCGCGCGGGGTCGGCGAGGCACGATTACGCGAGCAGCATTGCGACGCGCTCGATGGTGAAGTCGGTCGGCGCCTCAAGATGTCCTCAACTAAGCTCCGAGGCGCCATCCGATCGGCCGAGAGTGAGGCTGCCCTTGGAAGCTCGTCGCGCGCGGGGCTGCTATCGGAGCGCACGCGAGCTCGTCGTCTGAGGCTGCCCCATCGGAGCGCTCGGCGAGCCGCGCGCGCGAGCGGACGAAGAACGATGATGCGCACCGCTCTCTTCGTGCTCAGCCTCGCGCACGCAGCGGCGGCGCTCGTCGCGCCGTCGGCGCCGCGGCCGACGCCAAGAACGACGCTGCGCGCCGGGCGCATGGCCGAGGCGTCGCGGCGCGTCGGACCCGTGCTGACCGCGGCGATCCACGAGGCGCGCCTGCGCGTCGCCGCGCGGCCGCTGGCCTGCGTCGCCGCGGCGTTCGTCGTCGGCGTCCTCGCGGGCGTGTCCCGCGCCGACGACGTCGCCGACGGCTTCGCGCGGTACCGCACCGTCGACGACGTGCCCGCGCGGCGCTTCCGGGGCCGCGCGCGGATCTCGGGCGTCGTCGTCAAGGTCGCCGACGGCGACACGTTTCGCGCGCGCCACACGCCGCTCCTGTCCTTCGCGCGGCCGCGCCGCACGACGAAGGCCGAGGGCGGCTCGCTGAAGCTCGCGGACGAGACGCTGCAGATCCGCCTCTACGCCGTCGACGCGCCGGAGACGGCCAAGTTCGGCAACGCGGGCGAGAAGTACGGCGCCGCGGCCACGGACTTCGTCGCCGACCGCGTCCGGGGCCGGCGCGTGCGGCTCCGGCTCCTCGCGCGGGACCAGTACGGCCGCGCGGTCGCCGCCGTGCGCTACGGCGGGTTCCTCGGCGCCTTCGAGAAGGACCTCGCCGAGGAGCTGCTCCGCGCGGGCCTCGCGACGGTCTACCGCCAGGGCGGCGCCGAGTACGACGGCCGGAGGGCCGCGTTCGAGAAGCTCGAGGCCGCGGCGAAGGCGAGGGGCGTCGGCGCCTGGGGCGACGGCGGCCTGGACCCGGCGGCCTACAAGAAGGCCCTCAAGGCCGCGCGCTAGCTCTTACGCTCGAGGACGACGCCGGCCTCGAGGTGGTGCGTGTAGGGGAACTGGTCGAAGGCCGCGAGCCGCGACACGTCGTGCGTCGCCGCGAGGAGCGCGACGTCGCGCGCGAGCGTCTCCGGGTTGCAGGACACGTAGACGACGGTGGCGAAGCGCCGCGCGAGCTCGACGCACGTCGCGTCGAGCCCGGCCCGCGGCGGGTCGACGAAGAGCGTGTCCAGCGCGTCGAAGGCGAGCGTCTCCTCCGTCGCGGCCGCGGCCGCGCGCGTCCGGTTGCCGTTGCCCAGGTCGACGCCCGCGTCGAGGAGGCGCCCGAAGGTCCGCGCGCCGTCGAAGGCCTCGACGAACTCCTCCGCCGAGAGCTTGGCGACGCGCGCGTTGTCGTTGCCGTTCGCCGCGAGGTTCCGCCGCGCGAGCGCGACCGACGCCTTCGACAGCTCCGTCGCGACGACGCGGCGGAAGTTCGGCGCGAGGGCGACCGTGAAGCAGCCGTTGCCGCAGTAGAGCTCGCAGAGGTCGCCGTGTCCCCGGTTCGCGGTGGCGGCGACGGCCCAGCCGAGCATGGACCGGCAGACGTTCGCGTTCGGCTGCGTGAACGCGCCCTCGGTCTGCCAGTACGCGCACGTCCCGCGGCCGGGCACGTCGAGCACCTCGCGGACCTCGTCGGCGCCGACGGCGGTCTTGTACTTGCGCGACCGGCCGACGACCTTGACGTCGTGCGCGGCCGCGAAGTCCGCCGCGGCCGCGTCCCACGCGTCGTCGCCCGCGAGCGGCCGGTTGTAGGTCAGCGACAGGAGCGCGTCGCCCGCGAGCGTCGTGAGCAGGCGCGCGTCGTTGATCTTGTAGCCCAAAGTCTCGCCCTGGAGCGCCGCCGTCAGCGGCGGCAGGAGCGACCGGAGCCGATCCGAGCCCATGGGGAAGTCGAGGCACTCGACGGGGTTCCGGGCCTCGTCGCCGCGCTCGTACATGACGAGGTGCCGCGTCTGGTTGCCGTGGTCCAGCGACCCCTCGCGCCAGACCTGGAACGACGCGCGCATGCGGAAGCCCGACCGCTCGGACTCGAAGACCTCGGCGGCCGGCGGCGCGCCGCCGGCGGCCGCCGCGACCGCGGCCTCCAGGGACGCGACCTTGGCCGCGAGCAGCGACTCGTACCGCTCCGGGTGGCAGCGCGCGATCTCCGGCACGCCGCCGTCGACGCGCTGCAGCACGCGCGGCGGCGGCCGCGGGCCCCGCGGCTTGCGCGACCGCCGGCCGCCGCTGAGGCAGGCGACGCGCACGAGAGCCAGCGACCAGCGTATTAGCGGCGTGTAGTGGGCGAGCATCGTTTTTGGTGCAGTCCTGGCAGCGCTTTGCGGCTGGTTCAGTCGATCACGGGCGGCGCATCGCTCCGCTCCGACGGCGCATCGCTGCTTGAACCATGCCTCCTCTCCGGCGAGTCGACGTTTCTGCCAGAGCTCTGGAGAGCAAGCGAGAGAGCATCGCCACCGCCGACGTCGCCGTCCGTCGCCGTCTCACACGCGCGTTCACCGCGTGCGGGCGTCGCGGGACCACAGCCACGTCGAGCACGCACCACGCAGCCACCTCGAGCACCCTCCGCGCGCCGCAGAACAAACCATGCAGTCCGCGTGGGGCGGCGACCGGTCCTTCTTCGACCTGCACGCCCACGACTTCGTGCGCGTGTCGACGTGCGTGCCGCGCGTCTTCCTCGGCGACCCGCTGCGGAACGCGGCGGCCATCGGCGAGCTCTACGACCGCGCCGTCGCCGACGGGTCGAGCTGCTGCGTGTTCCCGGAGCTGTGCGTCTGCGGCTACGCGCTCGACGACCTGCTGCAGCAGGACGCGATCCTCCGCGAGACGCTCGAGGCGCTCGCGCTGCTCAAGGCGCGCACGGCGCCGGGCAAAGCCCTGCTCGTCGTCGGCGCGCCGCTCCGCGTCGACGGGCGGCTCTACAACTGCGCGGTCGTCCTCCACGGCGGGCGCGCGCTCGGCGTGATCCCCAAGAGCTACCTGCCCAACTTCCGCGAGTTCTACGAGGCGCGCCAGTTCGTCTCGGGCCGCGAAAGGTGCTGCGGCGACGTGCTGCCCGGCACCTTCCTCGGCGAGGCCGGCGTGCCGTTCCGCGCGGACGTCGTCTTCCGGTGCGCCGAGAACGCGGACTTTTGCGTCGGCGTCGAGGTCTGCCAGGACGTCTGGGTGCCCGTGCCGCCGTCGACGTTCCAGGCCTTCCGGGGCGCGACCGTGCTCTGCAACCTGAGCGCGTCGAACATCACCATCGACAAGAGCCGCTACCGCCACGCGCTCGTCGCGTCGATGTCGTCCAAAAACTACTGCGCGTACCTCTACACGTCCGCGGGCGCGGGCGAGTCGACGAACGACCTCGCCTGGGACGGCCAGGCCGTCATCTACGAGTGCGGCGACCTGCTCGGCGAGTCGGAGCGCTTCGCCGACGACGTCCGGGGCCAGGCGCTCCACGGCGACGTCGACCTCGGGCGCGTCGCGCAGGACCGGAGCCGCGACATGACGTGGTCGCAGAACGGCCGCGACTTCAGGGATCTCGTGGAAAAGGTGCGCGTCGTCGACTTCTCGCTCGTGCCCGGCGGGTCGCACGGCCTCGGCTTCCGCCGGGTGGCGAAGCGGCCCTACGTGCCGAGCGACCCCGCGACGCTCGCGGAGCGGTGCTACGAGTGCTACAACATCCAGGTGTCGGGCCTCGCGCAGCGCATGCGCGCGTCGGGGCTGAAGAAGCTCGTCATCGGCGTGTCCGGGGGCCTCGACTCGACGCACGCGCTCCTCGTCTGCTGCCAGGCGCTGGACAAGCTCGGCCTGCCGCGGTCCAACTGCCTCGCGTACACGATGCCCGGCTTCGCGACGACGGCGGCGACCAAGTCCTACGCGCTCGAGCTCATGCGGTGCCTCGGCGTGACCGCGGAGACGCTCGACATCACGCCGAGCTGCGAGGTCATGCTCGGGGACCTGGGCCACGCCTACGCGGCGGGCGAGCGGGGCCGGGCCGTCTACGACGTCACGTTCGAGAACGTGCAGGCGGGCGAGCGCACGAACCACCTCTTCCGCCTCGCGAACCACAAAGGCGCCTTCGTCGTCGGCACGGGCGACCTGAGCGAGCTCGCGCTGGGCTGGTGCACCTACGGCGTCGGCGACCACATGAGCCACTACTGCGTCAACGCGTCCGTGCCCAAGTCGCTGATCCAGTGCGTCATCCAGTGGGTCATCTCGTCCGACTTCGTCGGCGCCGAGGCGAACGCCGTGCTCACGTCGATCCTCGCCGTGGAGATCTCGCCGGAGCTCGTGCCCCAGGAGGACGGCGAGGCCATGCAGTCGACGGAGGACGCGCTCGGGCCCTACGACCTCCACGACTTCCAGCTCTACTGCGCGACGCGCCGCGGCTTCGCGCCGGCCAAGGCGGCGTACCTCGCGATGCACGCCTGGGCCAGCGACTGCCCGGACACCTGGGAGCGGGCCCACTTTGAGCGCGAGCCGCCGCCGACGCTCGCCGGCGCGGCGGCCGTGCTCGAGGACCGCGCGTTCCCGCTCGCCAAGGTCCTCGACTTCCAGCGCACGTTCCTCCGCCGCTTCTTCCTCACGTCCCAGTTCAAGCGCACCTGCGTCCCCAACGCGCCCAAGGTCGGCGACGGCGGCTCGTTGAGCCCCCGCGGCGACTGGCGCGCGCCGTCGGACTCGTCCTGGCAGCCCTGGCACCGCGGCTGGCAGGCGACGGTGAAGTGGGCGCGCGCGAGCGCCGCGGCGGACGGCCACGCGGAGCTGGCGCGCGACCTCGAGGCACTCATGAGCGTCTACGAGCTTTGATAACAGACAGGGTTGTTAGCGCGGCGGCGGAGCTGCGTCCGCGGCGCGGGGTTTGATTCGGCGGGGCGTGGTTCACGGTGACTTGTGGGCGACACAAAAGCGCGAGGGTGGCTGCAAAAGGGCGGCGAGGCGTACGCGACGGCGACGGCGGCGACGGCGACGACGGTGGATGACTGCAGCGCCGACGGCGGTGTGGGCGCGGCCCTGGCCTACGGCGACGACAGCGGCCACTTGGACAGCGGCAACTGCGACGACGACGGCGGCGAGGCGAACGCGACGGCGAGCGGCAGCTTCGCCTACTACCGCGACGAGGTGAACCTGGTGATTGATTGTTCCGGCAAGGTGAACCCGACGGCGTCCTGGTCCTTCGAGATGCGCTACGCCCTGGCCGACGCGGTCGCGGGGTTGCCCGAGTGCGTTGGAAGCACCATGGAGGTCGTGCACATCATCTACGGGTCGTCGCGCGTGCTCAGCAAAGGCAAACACACGGTCGACTTCGCTATGCTCAGTGACGGCGTCTGCGCGCAGCTCCAGGCCTTCGTCAACTTGAAGAGCAACTTGAATGTTTCGGGAAAGAAGAAGAAGAAAAAGAAAGGGAAAAAGGAGAGTGAGAAGGAAAGCAAAATCGAGAAGGAAAGTGACGACGAGCGGATGTGCAGCGACTTGAAAAAAAAACAAAAACTACTAGCTCTGCCGCTCGTCGAAAATTCGGACGCGAATACTGCACCCCTGATGTGCTCCTCCAAGACCAACCTACGCTGCGACGGTTAGCTCAGCTAGCTCGGTTCGCCTAGGTACCCCCCTAGCCCTTGGGGATATAGCTATACAAAAGGGCAAAGTCAGAGGTGGGGCTCGATCGTCGCGCGGAGCTGGCGGATGCTCGAGCTCACGGTCTCGCTCGAGAGCTGGACGAGCCGTCGAAGGGCCGGTGA